TAGAAAATAGGAGGGAAAGAGAAAATTCAACCCTCATGAACCGAAACCACCACAACCCGTCCGAACTCCCAGACTCCCCCCCCACCAATACCGGTTCCGAAGGTGTTTCCGATCAAAATTTCCACTCGATCAGCGACCGTTTTCTTTTCAAACGAAACCCTAACCCTAGCACTAACAGTCCACATAAATCAAGTAAATCACCTCCGGATCGGTTGCGCCGAGGGCATCACTACACAAACAAAAGCAACAACCGCAAGGGCGGGTGGTTCTCTTGTATTCCGTTTCGCGGCATTTATTTGTTCTACTTTGTGATATTTCTCGCTGTTTTCGCTTTCGTTTTGGCGTCTATTTTGCTGCAGAGTTCGATTACCGGCATGGTTGTGTTTAGTAAAGGGTGGATCGATCATCGGAGATCGATTAGAGAAGGTTTGATGTCAGGTACTACATTGAAATTCGTGCCCGGTTTAAGATCACGGTTGCTTTTGGAAGGTCATGGGCTCGATCATGTTAGAGTGCTGGCTAATAGAGTTGGCCTCCGCCCTCCCAGACTTGCCGTTGTAAGTCTCCGACTATCTAATTTCAGTTTTTCTTTTCAAATTTCTTTTGTGCTCTAAATGAGAAATGCTATAGGTTACAAGAAAACTGCGAGCCATTAGATGATATGATTCGTAATGCAAGATCCACTGGTGGGTCCCACTAATATAATGGCTAGTGATTTTCTTGCAATTTAATTTCTTTATTGAAATAGAATTGATCCTTGTGAAGATTGTTAAAGGGCTTGGCGTTAACTGGTCATAATGGGAATTGGGAAATTGTTTAATGAGCCTGGAGTGTATTCCTTTTGTTGGCATGCAATGCAAGTTGGACCCTGGATAACAAGTGATCATGGGCCTTGCTTATATGTGAGGGAGAGGGAGTGTGCGTCTGCAGTGCTGGATGCTTGTGGGAATTTGTGTTGCTATGGCTGCAATGAAGTTGAATTAATGACTATGAATTTTAGAATGGAGGTGTGGTTTTTGGTAGAGTTTGGGTTCTTTATTGTGGGTGGAGATTGCCCTTTAAAAACAATTTAAGGGATGGTTGTCTGAGATAGTTGGCTGCACCCAATGGCAATGCATGGGACATCATCAATGACGAATATGATTAAATTGAAGCATGGAGGAGGGGGAAGAAAGGTTAACCAGAAATGACATGTGAAGTGATAATTTAAAGAAAGCTTAGCTCGATGGGATTTAATGGAGGAAGTCAATTCGAGTACCCAGCCCAACTAGTATGGGACTGGTGTTTGTTTGAGTTGAGTGCTTAGTATTTAGAAACCTTTTTTATGAAGCAATTACAAATTTATTATTAGAATTGCAGACAAAGGTGTGGAAGTAGTTTATATTTTTTAGGAATTTATAAAGCACGAGGAACTTAGGTCATATGATTGGGTGCATGGTTTTTCCTTAGTTTTCTTCTTTTTCTTTTTATTAGACACGTGGACCAAGAAATACATTTTTCTGACACACACTTCTAGCAAGAGTTCTGGTTTTTTTCAAAGACTTCATCTACATGTCTTTCAGCACTGAACTTTTGTGAGCATGTTTTATTATAATGGTTCTTGTCTGATGATATCCAGATCTTAGGAAACATGAAGAAAGATCCACAGTCATTGATGTTGCTTAGTGTGATGAAGAATCTGCGGAAACTTGGTTATGCACTTAAGGTGAATTGTTCAGGCTGTTCTTGTATAATTTCTGTGATGTTTCTATGTAAATCTTGACATTTTCTTGCTGCTAATAGCAAATGCTTTGTTACACTATGCGACTGCATATAAATGTCAAATCACCTCTTTAACAGGCTGAAGATGTTTGGTTTGTTAAGGAAGCATCAATACAAATTTATTCATCTCCCCTTTCAAAATAAGCCTGGCATAAACATTGATGTAAAGGCTACATGTTTTACTTTGGCCTTCAACTATGTAGAACTGTCTATGCTCCTAACAATACCTATTCGACAGATATATGCTTTGGGGGATGGTGAAACAAGAACAATGTGGGAGGATATAGGAGACCAGATATAAATTTAGAATTTTGTTCTAATGCTTTGGTGTTCCTTCATTGCCTGGCTGGATTATGCTCAGTATGCATGCATGCAGAATTAAAAACACACATCCACTTTGTGGGACATTTTGCAAACAATACATGCCTTTTGTATATTTAAATGTTTTTGCTTCACACGAACACAGTATACAGATATGGGAGCAAATGAATTTGAAGTGGCCAACAAGATTGTTTGCATTATTAACCCAATGAAATTCTAGAAACATGGGTTCTTGCACTCATCTACAACTTGCAGCAATTTAGATTTGAGGTTTTAGTCTAGATTTTGCTTTGTTTTTGGGTCTTGGATGCTGCAGTATATGTCCTATGAGCAGATACAGAATTTTAGACATGAAGAGGGAGTTAAGGGTGCATCAGCAGTTCTCTTGATCATTTTTTAATTTATTCATAAGAATTACAATAGGAACTGTTTTGGGCAAACCTTTTATAGTAATTATGAGCAGAGGTGATTCTGCAGATAATAGAAGTGCTAGTTGTATGGAAGAAAACAAAATAATTAGAATTTGTAGCCGACCTCAAGGGTTTGCTTAGAACTGTCTGTATTTGCAATTATGAGGATCTAGGTAACTGTTTACCTTTGTTTGGGATGCTATGATTAGTGACTTCTATATTTATGCAGCCTCACACAGGAGCCATTTCAGTCAATACCACTTGTATGGATAATCCAAGAAGATACCCTTGCAAATCGTCTTCCATTGTATCAGGATATGAACTTGCAGCATTTGGTGTCTCATTGGAGAAGTACCTTTAACAGGGCTAATGTTGTTGTATTTCCAGACTTTGCTTTGCCAGTAAAAAATGCCACTTCTGTACTTAATTACATCTTATTTCTAGCCAGTCTTGTATAGAAAATCTAATGCTGTTTTTCAATTTACTTTCTTTTCTGTATCAGATGTTATATAGTGTGCTTGACACTGGAAACTTCTTTGTGATTCCCGGATCACCACTAGATGTGTGGGCTGCTGAAAGCTACAGTAAAACCCATGCTAAGCATCAGCTAAGGGTGGACCATGGATTCAGCGAAGATGATTTGGTGATTCTAGTTGTCGGGAGTTCTTTCTTCTATGATGAGCTATCATGGGACTACACCGTGGCACTGCATACCCTAGGACCTGTACTAGCTGAATATGCAAGGAGCAAAGATGCTGAAGGATCGTTTAAATTTGTTTTCTTATGTGGTAATTCCACTGATAATGATGCTTTCCAGGTAGTCAACTTACCATCTGTTATAGCTTATTATTTTTGTTGTGTTATCATGTTTTAAGCTCCTTGTATCTGTGGTACTTGATTATGCACTTTTATTTTTTAAGTGATGCTGTGAAAACTTGTATATTGGCACACATTTGAATAGGGTAGTCTCCTATTGTCCATTTGATTACTTGACCCCATAAGAATGGGGTTAACTAGATGAATGCCTAGGGTGATGCAATTCTGACCTCGAAGTTCTGAAGAAATTCCTGAAGTCAATAGTATTAATTTTATTCTCTGCTTGTAAAAGAATGCATGGAATTGTTTAAATAGGACCTTAAACTGACTCTTTCTAACCAGTAAACTCTAAACAGGAAAAATCTAAACCAAATAAAACTATCTACTAACTAGAAAAATTCAAATTAAAACTCTGTAACTTAACTAGGAAATTTGAATATAACTAGTAACAAGAAGTAAAGTTCAACAAGTTTCAACTGGACAATTATAGTTGATCAATGAGGATCAATTCTGGTTGATGTTCAATCATGATTGGTCAATTCTAGTTGTCGGTTGATCGATCATGGTCGACTAAGATTGATGGCTCGATTGTAGTCGATTACCAGGAGGAAAATTTGATGCTCTATCTAGTCCATAATTGAAGACACCAAACATTCCATGTCACAGGGAAATATAAACTTGAAATAACCTTGATATTTCATCAAGCTTTACAGTTGTCTCTTTTTTTGTGCATTGCTATC